ATCATCCTATTCCTCTAGGCCACATCCCCACTAATTAATGTTGACCACAACAGTCTTATCACTGTAATGCCTGGTGATAAAGTGTTAGAGGCTATCTGGAAGCTAAATCCTAAGAAATATTGTGTACACGTAAAATCAACACATGATTAAACCCCACCTATAAAGAGGTCAACTGCTTCTTGAAAATAAGTATATGAACCCTACATAATATAAGCCCTAACAAAGCATAAATTCTAAAATTGGAAAGTGTAGCTTTTAATTTTGAGTCTGGTGGACTAATACCATTGAACCATTGTGGGAAAATCTATATGGGTTTTGAACACATTGCACAGTCTAGGGCAAATAGAATCTAGGATGGCGAGGGGCAAAGTTTTACTAAATTAAGAGAAGATAATAATCCATATAAGAACTTGAAATGAACCCATATAAGAAGTTCAAATGGAAATTAAAAGAAGAATTTTGATCGTGTATGAACACTACATAATGTAAGCCCTAACAAAGCATAAATTCAAAAATTGGAGTTTATAAAAAAAAGGGAAGTGTGGAGTTTATTTTAAATAATTGGAGTTCATTTCTTAAATAATTAATAATGTGTTTATCGTTTTAGCATTGGGTAGTATTTAAATAATTGTGTTTGATACTCCAGGGTATTTTTACGTAGGTATAGACATTCCAAATTTATCTTGTACCTTTGCACACATATATAAATAAAAATGTATTAGGGTCTAACACATAATGACTTAAGACATCAAGGACAAATTCCCCAATAAAATATTTTATATTAAAAAATGCAAAATAGTGAAAGAAATGCACACCTTGCACATGGGATGAAAGATCATAAATATCCCAAGTGAGGTGATCCAATAATGGATAGGGCAGTAACTTGACATGGCTACAGTTGGCAGTGCAAAGACCAAATCTAGACAAATTTAAAATTGTTGAAAAAAACGTAGGATCGATCCATGCATATAATACTCCGTAAACTGAGTATTAAACATTTTGTTTTATTTAACTATTAGAATACAACATTTGTTATCAAAAGACATAAGATCCATAAAATGAAAACTAAAATTTTCAAGCCCTACTCAACATTTTTATGTAAAAGTTAAAAGGAGCTCAAAAGTGCAAAAACCCTAGAACATTTCTATAAAGCTTTAAAAGGAACCCTACTCAACATTTCTATGAAAAAATAGGTATGAGATCTGGAAAGAAACACACATGGAGAGAAAACCATAAAAGTGCCAAAAACCCTAGAGCAAAAGAAGATCTCACCTGAAATTTGATGTGCGTGCAGCTGTTACTGGAAAGGAATCCAGAAAACGCAGAAGAGCCTGTGAAAGGGTGCGATTCAGGGGAGTCTCAAGGAATGGTGGCTAAGCTAAGCCTTGGGCTTCAACAAAACAAAGTGAGAAACATGATTTTGGGCCACCAAGTCCAATGACCTTATTTTTAGGCTATTTTAGAATCTCTAGATCCATGGATGTACAAAAGCACAATTTTCCAACATTTTTAGTTTTACTTCTTTCCTGCAACTTTAACTTGCTTAGCTTTGGTCACAATTATGGAGTGTCAAAAAATATTACTAAACAATACAAATGCTTGTTGAGTTTGGATTTTAATACATATTGGTGCTTCAAACATTTTTACTTTCATTTATTAGTTTTTTTAGTAATAAAACCATTTTTCCCTCTTACAGTACCACGGAATAGGTTTTAGGAAAATCCTAATCCATCGCTGATAGCACCCACTCCGATAAAATCTTCATAAGAAATGGATTACACAAAATTTATTTCCAACAAAGAATAATTTTTTTAGGTCTAACCATGGTAGTCAAACTTGAGAGGATCAATAGACTTAGTAAAGATCATAACTCATAGGATGGTGACTCGGATCGTAAGATATATATATATATATATATATATATATATATATATATATATATATATGAGTATAACAAATAAAATAATGTTATAAATATTTTATTTTTTAAAATACTCGTACATCTTATAATAAGTCACTTATATTAAGTTAACATTATAACTAAAGATATATATACATATACATACATACATACATATATATATATATATATATATATATATATGGTGGAAAAATTAAACGTTATGGGCGAGTATATGAAAATAGTAATACGAAGTAAACACATACGGAACCAAAACAAAACGCATACAAAGTAGATTTCAAGGACCGCACAGATTTCTCACGGGTATTTCTGTCAACCTAAATTTGTTTCCATCGATCGCGATCCACGCGGACCCGGGACCTTATTGGGTAGTATTTTAATAATATTAAGTTAAATGGTTTATATATTATGTTCAATACTCCGGAGTATTTTTACGTAGGTATAGACATTCCAAATTTATCTTGTACCTTTGCACACATATATAAATAAAAATGTATTAGGGTCTAAGACATAATGACTTAAGACATCGAGGACAAATTCCCCAATAAAATATTTTATACGGAGTATTAAAAAAATGCAAAATAAAAAAAGAAACACACACCTTGCGCATGGGATGACAGATCATAACTATCCCAAGTGAGGTGATCCAATAATGGATAGGGCAGTAACTTGACATGGCAACAGATGGCAGTGCAAAGACCAAATCTAGACAAATTTAAAATTGTTGAAAAAAACGTAGGATCGATCCATACATATAATACTCCGTATACTGAGTATTTAACATTTTATTTTATTTAACTATTAGAATACAACATTTTTATATCAATTTACCGAAATTTAGTCATCGACAACAACATTAGCCATTTAGCACCGAGCCTCAAAGGCCCCCCGCCCATTGCAGGGTAGGGGGCCAGATGTAAGCAACTTGACACGAATGTTTAAAACACATTGTGATTCTTTCCAATTCAACCATGTTGAGCATTGAAGGTTGCATTGACTAGTAACCGCTTCATCACTATTAAAAGAAGTGCCATTTCACTTTTTCCCAGCCTGTTTTACGACTAATTTTGTTATTCTTTCTCTGCCAATGGACTCAAAGTACATAGTAGGCAAGATTTAATCATTTGGCTATAGATTTCAACACATAACTACAAGACAAGCAAATTAATCACAGAGTAATTCCAACCAACAATATTTGAGCAAATTTAGCAAAAAAAGGAGGGGGGGGGGACTGAGAAACAAAATAACCTGGAACACACTACAAAAAAAATAAGAGGCAAAACAAAAGATCTACGAAGGATATACCTGATCCTTGAAGGCTCAGAGGGCGAAGATGAGAGGCGGGAAGGAACGAACAAATCATTTGGCTTTTCTAATTTTATCACATTTCTTGAAGAACCCGATGAAGGATGCATATTTTTATCACATCTCTTCCATAATGGCATGAAGGATGCATAATTTTGCTCGCGAGATAGTGTTTGAATGCAAAGCATGAAGAAACACAAAACTGAGACAGTTGGCCAAAAATTTAGTCCCTGCAAAACCAAAAGCGAAAAAAATTAACAATAGCCATCAACTAAAAATTAAAGAATTGGAATTAAGTGTTCAAACAAAACACAAATAGAATCCCTTGGTTACCTTCCATGCTCCACCAAGAGCTACTGACCCCACCAACCACCCACAACTAACACATACCCCCACAAACCTACTCCCCAAAAACCGTCTCCAACCGTCCCACCACCCCATAACAGCCACCCCATAACATGCACCCCCATATTCCCACCCCATGTTCAAACACCCAACTCCCACAACCCTCCCACCTCCACATTCCCAAACATCCTAACCACCCAAGTAACCCCAACCGCCCCTCCATATTTCTTTCTGAAACCCATGCTCTCCCCCCCCCCCCC